GGTTGGAAGCAAAGCCAGTACCCACAGAACTCTCAAAACCCACATCTGTGGGGCAGAAGACACGGGTGACCTGCCCTGCTGCCACCACATATCCAGGCTGCTGGGGGGAGTCAGCACTTCCTTCATGCAAGGAAATGCACCACGGGAGGCAGTCAGCCAGGCTTGTGACTCTGCCCCAAATGAGAGAGGAGCCAGGGTCACTGAGAATTCCCACTTGGGCACTTTCCCTGAGGTCTGCAGCATCCACTGAAAGGCTGTGTGGGAGCGCAGAGAGTGTTTGGGTGGGACAGCCTCCGTTCTCTTGTACTTACCCTAGCCTTTGCTATCTTTTGGCCCTTTATACACCCGCTTCCTCCTCAAGGGTCAGGCCCTGGGCCCCAGCAGATGAGCCTCTGCGGTCACAGGCCTCTGAGGGTAATTGCCACTCTAGAGAGCTGCCTAGGATTACAGGAAAGCAGCTTCAGAAATAGAAATAGCTGCAGTAAGGACTGTGGTCGGAGTTGTGACACACAGGGAACTCACTTTCTCCCTTCTTGACAACTGATTTCTGAGAAACAGTCTTCGCTGTCCTATAGCAGGTTAGCCTCTAGTGGGGGATGCTCCAGTTCCCAGAGGGGTACAGAGGACACCAGGGGCCTGAGGGTGGGTAATGGCCCTGCCCTCCTTTATCTGACCTGCTTTTATTCAGCAGACTTTCCCAGCCAGCTGGGCCTTTTCTGGGTGTGCAATTGGCTAAATACACATCTTTTAAATTAGATTTACTCTTGTACGAAGCCGCTTGTTTTGTGGGTGTGTGGATGGAAACACAGTATCACAGTCATGCTGAAATGCATTTCTTTCCGGAAATCTTCAGCTTCTGGTTTTTGCTGCCCCACACAACGTTTTCCTTGTCATAATTGCAACAACTCCATTCCACCAGCTAGCTCCCCAGGGAGGGGTGGGAAGGCAAACATTAAGCCACCTTTAATCCCAGAACTCGGGAGTCAGAGCCAGGCGGATCTCCCGAAGGCCAGCCTGAGATACAGAGTGAGATCCAGGACAGGCACCGAAACTACACAGAGAAACCCTGTCTCGAACCACGACCCCCTCAAAAAAAACAAAACAAAAACAAAAACATAACAAACATTAAAAGATGGAAATCTAGCCGGGCGGTGGTGGCGCACGCCTTTAATCCCAGCACTCGGGAGGCAGAGGCAGGCGGATCTCTGTGAGTTCGAGGCCAGCCTGGGCTACCAAGTGAGTTCCAGGAGAGGCGCAAAGCTACACAGAGAAACCCTGTCTCGAAAAACCAAAAAAAAAAAAAAAAGATGGAAATCTAAATACTAAAAATTATAGGAAGGAAATCAGGGGAGTGGATCAGGACAAGAGGAGGACAACAGATGAGCCCTGATTGAAAAACTCCCTGCACCTGAATTTCAAAATCATGTCCAATATAAGGCCCTGCTAGCTTCTGGTAGAGAAAGCAGGCCCCCTTCTCACTCCATGTATTGGGAAAATCCTAAAAACTGGAAGGAGATGGGAAAGTGCACTGCAAATCCTGGAAGGGAGCCATGAGCAATCTAGAACTGTGCATCTGGATGGAGTGTTGATGGGAAGTAACATAAGATGTTCAGACATGAAAGACTGCAAGCAAGCAGTCCCTTCCCACCTACTCCTGGTCAGGAAGCAGGATGTGCTCCAGCAGAACAAGGAAGGCCGACAAAAGAGGAGTAAGGCCAGAACCAGGAGACTCCACCGCGAGGAGGAGAGGGGGTGGGGATCCTGAGTCTGGACACTGCAGGGACACTTCGGGGTGGGGTAACTGTGTACCTGGAACGGGAGATAAGGACAGGTGTGAGCACACTGGGAGAGCCTGCAAGATCACATATGAGAAACCGGATGGAAATGAGTTTCTCCAGAAGAGATCGCTGCAGCTGCTAGAGAACTCAAGGATGGTCATCAAAAAAGTTTATATAAAACTAATCGAGCCAGAAAGATTAAGGCAATTATTAGCTCCAGGAAAGAAAGTGTGAGAAAGAAGCAATCTTAGCTGATTACATGGTTCAGTTTGGAATAGCATGAGAACTGGTAATATGGATAATGAATAGTGATTGAAGTAAAATTATGATATAATTACATTGGGTGGGGCTAGGGGATGGCAAGAGATGGGTTGGGAGTGTAAAGATAAAGATAATGCCTCAAGCTGGAAATCAAGACAAGCCTTCTATTTACAGATACGGGAGCTGGCTGGGTTGGTGGTGGTGGAGGACATCTGCAATCCTAGCCAGCACTTGGGAGGTAGAAGCTCAAAGGAAGACAAAGTCATGTTTGGCAACATGTCAAGTTCAAGGCCACCCTGGGTTACCTAAAGACCCTGTCTCAAAATAAAACATAACAAAAATAAAGATCGAGGCAGAAAGTAAAATAATCCATGAGAGGAACAAGCAGCTTCCTGTGGGACTAGGGGGCGAGGGGAGACTAGATCCTGCCATTTCTTGTAACAGACCATATTGAACTGTTTGATTCTTTCAATTAAATTACATATAATTATGGGGAAAAAAAAAGACCCTCAGCTAATTCACAGTAGATACCTTGAAGTATCTTAAAATGTGACCGAAATCTTGTCAGGGTCAAGGAAACTAACTAGTCAGGCACAAACAGGCTGGAGAGACACCTCAGCTGGTAAGCCTGTTGCTCCTGCAGAAGACGGGAGTTTGGTTCCGACAGCTCACAACTGCCTATAACTCCTGGTCCAGGGGATCCAAACCCCTCTTCTCGTCCCCATGGGCACCCACACACATGTGTGTGCACAGATACAGACACATGCACACAAATAAAAATCAAGATAAAATCTTAAACAAAACCCCCACAAATGGATACTTCTAGCCATTTGAGCAGAGCCTGTAAAAACAGCTGACTAGCTCAAGGCCAGGACTGAAGGCCTCAGGGCACGAAGTGCCATGTGATGGCTTCACAGAAGCCCTACCTGGCTGCAGAGAAGGGCTGAGGACATAACATGGACCCCTGGTCTTGTCTAGGAGAAGACTCTACTACTTTCTGGCTGGTACCACCAAATCAGGGCACGTGGTTGCATGGTGTCCGGAAAGCCAAGGAGAAAGAAGTCGTCTGCCGTCTGTATTTTAAAAAAACGCACACGTTGTGTTTCCCCAGGTCTTGCCCAGGTATTTCTCTCCATTTTCCCTTTGCTACCCTGGGAAGCGTTGGAACCGTACCTCCACGGTTCCAACCATGGAAGGAGTTGGAACCCCATGTCGTTCTGTTGGGTATGTTGAGTGGTGCCGCTAAGAACAGTTCAGTAGATCTGCCGCACGCTGAGCCTGCAGTTACCACAGGGCCCAGCAATCCCACCCAGGAGTGCTGAGAGTCTACGTCTGCATAAAAACACGTAAAAGCACGCTCGGCGCGTCACATGCACACTAGCCGACAAGTGAGAGCCACCCACATTCCGGTGAGCTGTGTGTGTGGTAAAACACGATGTAGCATTAGCCTTGAGCAGGAGTGAAGTCCTGGCATGCTACATCGTGCAGAAGCCTAGAAAACTCTTGGCTAAAGAAGAAATCAGACACAAACCCATGAGCTGTCTGGTTCCATTTATATGCAGTGTCCAGAAGAGGCAGATCCAGAGGCAGAAGGTAGATTTGTGGTTGCTGGGGTTGGGGAGGATCAGAAGAGTGTTAATGGTGTGGGGTTTCTCTTTGAGTGACGCAATTAAATAACAGGTCATGGGTGTACGATACTGTAAACACACGAAAATCCACTGAAGTGCGTGCTTTAAAATGCTGAAAAGAATTGTGTGTGGTGTGAATTCTCTCTCAATACAAATGCAAGGACTAGAACTGTCAGGATGTGATGTTAGAATCCAGCCTCTGCCCAGGCCACAATATTTACAGCAGTCCCTCTGCTCTCACAGTTACAGACAAACAGGCACCTGCTGAGACACTGTGAATCTCTAGCTAACAGACTCCCCTGGGGGAACGGAGGGTACTCCCCCTGCTCATCACCCTTTTCCCTGCCTACTGCCTGGCAATCAGTCTAGCCGTAGGCTTGTACCTTCCCCCATTCTTAGAAAGGTATCAAAGAGACCCCCACTTCTGCCACAGGGGTCCTGATTTCCCTTCAGGGGACTCATAAGATTGGAACTTCCCAAGGAATCTCATGGTAGGAAGAGGAAAAGGCAGCCAAAGAGCTAGCTGAGCAGGTAAAGGTGATTGCCAGCAAGCCCGATGACCCGAGTTCCATCCTGGGGAGCCACGTAGTGAAAGGAGAGAACCAACTCCTGTAAACTGTCTTCTAACCTCCAATTTGTACTGTGGCACATGCACATGCACACACTATAACTACACAAATAATAAGCGTAGTTTAGCTGATGAGATGGCTTGGTAGGTAAAGGTATTCGCCACCAAGCCTAACGACCCAAATCTGATCCCCGAGACCTACATCTCCAGCCAGAAACCTTGTCATCACACACACACACACACACACACACACACACACACACACACACACACACACACACACACACACACACCAGACTCAGTTTTATGAAATGCGAGTTAATAATAGCTAGGGAGGCTTGGAGGGGCACATTCCCTACCACCCTGCATGTTTTGAGTAGACTGGAGAGGGGAAGGGGGAAAAGAGGAGTGATTTCAGAACTTACATGTAGATTAAATGTTTCAAACAAAGCATTGTTAAGGCTGAAGAGCGAGCACTGGCTGCTCCTCCAGAGGACCCATGTTTGATTCCCAGCACCCACATGGTGCTTACAACTATAACTCCTGTTCCAGGGACCCGACACCTTCTTCTGGCCTCATAGGCACCAGACACATATGTGGTACATGGATATACATACCAGCATAATGTGAATATACATTATATAAACTAAACGAGACAAAAGGAAAGTGCCACCAATTCATTACTCTCAAGAAAAAGAGTCTTGCTGAACTAGAGAAAAACCCAGGTTTTTTTTTTTTTTGAAAAATGCATACATTTATTAAAAATTTGAAGTTACTTTAAAAAACACGGTTACTTCACACTATAAATTCAGAAGTCCTGGGAATTAGGCACAGAAAGATTTAGGTTTTCAAGGAGTCCTTAAGGTTTCCTATTGGCATTCTTCATTGCTCTGGGGTTTTGGCGCTTTGGGAGTCTCTGCCCTGGAACCCTGGTTATTGAACAGCGGCTGCTCAAGAACCCCAGAACAGATGGGAGAGGCTCTGGCGTGCTTATAGCCAAACACAGACAGCAGCACTTTTAAGTGAGTGGCTGTAGTTCCTTCTGGAGTTTTTTGGAGTGATGTCTGGTCTGTAAGACCATTCCCCCACTTAGTGAAGAACCACTCAGGCCCTCCCCAAATACTGGCCCCATCGCAACCCCAGGACTCCACGTAGCATGCAGGTTAAAATGTCTCTAGGCAGGAGGATTTCCTCAGTTCTTATCCAACCATCTAAAATTGTCCCTTAGAGGATCACAGTTAGGCAGGTAAAATCGTTTTTACAATTTTAAAACCGAAATTGTTTCCAGACATACAGGACGGCCGTTGCAATGATGCAGTACAGAAGAGTCTTGATCACCAGTCTCCAAAAACTGAGTGGAAAGGAGCGCTTGAAGATGTCACAAAAGCCATCCTGCAAGGGGCAGAAGAGGAGAATTAGACCGACTCCCCATGAACAAACCTGAGCTCCAAATACACAGAAGTCAGGGCTGAAGAGACGGTTCAGCCGTTGAGGGGGCTGGCTGCTCTTGCAGAGGATTTGGGTTCAGTTCCCAGCACTTACACGGTAGCTCACAATTCTGTTAACTCCAGGTCCAGGGGATCTGACACCCTGTTCTGGCCTCCCTGAGCACTGCATTACATGGCACACAGAACACATACAGGGACTTATCCCACACACAATAAAAATATCTAAATGAAAATTCACAGGAAGGGCTAGTGTGGAGCTTGGACGTCAAACGTGATCAGCACGCACAAGGCCGTGGGCCAATCTCCAGTATGAAAAAACACCCCAAAATACATAGGAAGTTCTAGATCATGCCATAAAATGAAAGGCATGTGGCTACCAGACACCTCGTAGGATGTGTTCACAGCAGTTCAACTTGCATAGAAGCAACCACCTGACTGTCCTATATGGCGGAGATGCCTCCTCATAACACCTCATATTTTACCTCAACACTGAGGAAAGACATCTAGGAGAACTCTACTAATGCCTCTCTTTACTCTCTGATGCCTTCCCCACAACCTCCAATAAAATTGAAAATTTTAAGCCTTGGGCCTTCCCTTTGAGGGCACCTGTCTGTCTTTAGCTCATCTCTTTAACCTTGACCTTCCCTCTACAAATCAAATTCAAAATGGTTTCCAAACTCATCAGGGACCTCCTGGGTCACACCTGGGGTTACCCCTTTAATAACGATCTTGGTTCTTACATCCGTAGTCCCCCTCTTTAGCACCCTGCCCATCTCAACTCATCCAGACTGCTGTGTGGTCACACAGGCTCAACATCCTTCCACTGTGCCCATACAGGCATCAATCATCTCTGACTCAGATACCCCGAGATGGGAGACATGCTGCGTCTACACCACCCCAAGTCAGGATGTAGCAACTAGAGACTGACCTCAATGCTACCCCCAAAACCAAGAGTCTGGGAAGGTTATATTTGGGACTAGAGTGTATTCAAGCCATGCTCACTTGCAGAAGCTGCTTTCTCTACCTACGCAGCTTAGACAAAAGAAATAGTAGACGCTCTGTTGAAAGCCAGCCTGTGAATTTATAAGCCTCTCTTCCCCAAAGGGTGTTTATGAACTCCAGGCTACCCGAGACCCTAAGCAATCAGGGACTATGGGCAGCAAATCCTGTATGATGATTACACATTAACTTAAGGACCCAGCCTTTCCCTCTTCCCCATTGCTCTGGAATCAGTGACATCCCAACTACAAGCACATAGTCACCACTATGTGGCATGGGACCTCCCCTTCCTCTGGAACCTTTAAGAGGGGAGTCTGGCTTTGTCTCATAGACCTAACTCTACACAGAGTCCCTGCCATGCTGTCTTTCCATGGTATTACTCTGTGAATGAATCTCTTACCCCAAAGAAAATCTGCCTCACTATTCCTCTTGAACCCACCCAAGTCTGAGAACTTGAGGGAGGGGGGGGGAGTGAGGAGAGAAAGGAGGAGTGAGCCAGGAGGCAGAAGGAAAAATGAATACTGTCTTATGACCTCTTCAGAGGGCTCAGAGAGGGTTCTCACAAACCCAGCTGAAGGCAGTCCTCGGGCCCAGTGGAGCCCCATACATCAGGAATTGCTAACACGGCACACCACCTTTCTTTATCAGGTGGTTTAAATGCAGACTGCTGACAGGCGGCTTTGTTTTTGTGTAACAGGTTTTAATCGTTAAGTTACATCTATCCCCATAACACGGGTCACTTCAGTTTTGATCCAACCCCAATGAGGAGGAAAGTAAAGAAACCTGAGGCCAGGCTTGGCATGTGAGCTAAACTAGGGTAGAGCTCTTCTTTTTTCTTTTCTGGTGGTGCTGGAGATCGAACCCAGGGCCTCACAGACGTTAACAGTCTGCTATCAACCTTTATTCCCATCCTGGGCGTTCTCTTTGATCGCTAACTCTGTGTAGCTAGCTGCCTTTTTCGCTTACACCAGAGATTCAGGACCAACAGAAAGCCAGGGGCCTGGAGGCTGCCCAGCGGGGAAAAGTGCTGTGGACCAGAAGTAGAGTCTAGTCAGGGTTCCCACTGGTGGTCACACACATTTCACAACCCCTAGGGTTTCAGTCTCCTGAAGGGTTAGAGAAAGGAGAGGAAACTCTGGAGAGCTTGGGCAAGACCACAGCTCCCTTTCTGCTACTTGGGCATATCTGACCTAATAAGCCCTCCCTGAAAGTCCCAAGGGTAAGGGTTAGGGTAAGCCATGTGTGCCTGGCCACCCCTGAATGAATTTTTATGAGAATTATGGAGCAAGGGCAGTCTGAGTGCCTGTAAAGAAATCCTTGGGCTGGGGACCTGGCTCAGTGAGTGCTTGCCTAGCATGCTCAAAGCCCTGTGGGTCCACACCCAGCACCACAGAACCCCATCATAGGGACACAGCCTGTAATCCTAAAGCTCCTGGAAGCAGGAGGCTATGGAGTGAGGCCAGCCTGGGCTACACGAGACCCTGACTTTAAGGGGGGGAAAAGTAGTAAAGAAAGGAAATAAAATCGGACTGCACAGTACAGCTGAAGCACTCGCTCCTCGTCTCTGAGAGGTGCTCAGCCCCGCACCCTCCACCTCACCCCCACACACCATCACTCCCACGCTCGCTCCGTGGTCTCACCCAGCCATCCTGATCCTCCAGCCAGGAACGATGCTGCCCCAGGATCCGACTGCACAGGAAGTCCACTATGAGCTGGCAGTCTCGGGTCACTTGGGATTGATTCCTCCTCAGACCACTCTTCTTCTGCCTGGTAGCCTTGCAAGGGCCTTGATTCACAAGCGTCCCCGCGAAGGCCAAGACCAACACCAGGCGGCCCCAATTGATGTCCTGGTCATCGGGGAGCACCACATCCACCATCCGTGTCACCAGCTCCAGGCGGTTGCCCTGGTAGCCGAGGAAGGAGGAGAAGAATTCCTGGTAGTGCTCTTGGACTTCGGCTGCCACAGTGCGCAGCAAGGCCGCCTCGGTCGACCTGGGCGGTGGCTCGGGGGTGCCCGGCTCCCGCGCACAGAACGTCAAGTAGTCAGTCAGCAGCCTTCTGGTGCGTTCCAGCAGCGGATCACCCATCCTCTGGCCTCTGCACCCGGCCTAACCCCAGCCGGCTTTCTAGGCTCAGCGGCTTCCTGCCTCCACCCCTCCCAGACCTTTGGGTATCTCACCTACACCTGTTGCAAGGAGAGAGGCCTGTGACGGAGCAAGCAGGAGCCACGTGAGACCCATGGATTACTTCTTACCTTCCGGATTAAGAAACAGCCAGGGTCTGGAGCTTTCTAGAGCTTGGTAGGCCTTGGAATTGTCATTCTCCTGCCTCAGCCGCCTGAATCACTGGGATTACAGGCTTGTGCCATCAGGCCCCACTAGAAGCCGTATCTTAACTTGCTACTGACTGGGCTGACTTGTTTGGAAAATGAGGAAATATAACTCATTTTGCAAAGTGGCTGTCCTAGGTTGGAGGAGGCAATGTGGCCCCAGCCCCTGACTCCTGCCTGTCTCTGACCCACCAGCTGTGCTCCCTAGAAACCCTGCTGTCCTCCTTTGAACGAGTCTCCAGTACAGTGGTCCGCAACATTCCTAATGCTGCGACCTTCACGCTGGGGTGGCCCCCAACAATACAATTATTTCGTTGCTTCTTCATAACTGTAGTTTTGCTAGGGTTATGAATTGTAAATACCTGATATGTATGATATCTGTTAGGCGATCCCCGAAGGAGGTCACAGGTTGAGAAACACTGCTCTAGTAGGTCACAGGTCTGCTGGGTTCTAGCCCTTGTGGGCCTTCTTGGGGCTCCACTTCGACTTTCTGTGATGCTACCCAAAGTTTCCTCTGAGGCCCTTTCCCAGGGGTTACCTGTGCCCAGCTGTCCTGGTCCTTTCTTTATGTCCACACTCTCTAGAGACCTGCTTTAATTCAGGGCCATCTCCCTGAGGGGCAAAGAGAGCTCTCTAGGGTGTCAAAGTATAACCCAGAACCATTGTGTGTCTCTGAGACTCTAAGGGACGTTTCAATAATACTAAGGACATAACAAAAATATATGGGGCATTTCTCACTCTCAGTTCCAAAGGGACTGCTGAAGTGACCATGGCACCCTGATGGCTGGAAGAATGTCCTTTCTGCATTCTGAGGGTCTTTCTGGGGAGCAAAGGTCTGGAGCTGGGCCTACAAAAGTAAAGTCAGCACTATGCAAAGAGTCAGGCGGAGAAGGATAAGACAGGGGACCAGACAATCTGGGGATACCCGACCCACCCTACCCCCTGCTTCTTAGGGACAGCAAATCTTTGGCTAGTCAGATGCCCAAGGCCATGCACAGTGCCAGTTTTACCCAGGAATGATTACCAGGGTCCAAGGTGACCTTTGATTCCCAGTACTAAAAAAAAAAAAAATCTTTTTAAAGATGGGGTCTTGGGGCTGGGACTGTAGCTCAGTTGGAGAGTGCTGGTGAATCATGCCGGACAGTCTCGGTTTGGTTCCAGCAGTGTGCCTACAATTTTAGTGCATCCAGTGTGTGGTGCACGCTGGCAAACCCAATATTCCAGCACCTGAGAGGCAAGGGCAGAGGGACCAGAAGTTTACCATCACACTTGGAAACGTAGCAAGTTTGAGGGCAACCTGGGAGACATGGTATTGTGTCTCATAAAAAATAAGGCCGGGAGCAGTGAGCTTGTTCAGCAGGTAAGGGTTCTTGTTACCAAGCCTGAGGATCTGCGTTCGATGCCCAGACACCCTATGGTGGAAGGAGCAAACAGACTCCCACCGGCTGTACTCTGACCCCTGCATGTGCTCTGTGGCATGTGTATTCACCTACATACACACAGAAGAAATGATTCAAATAATGGACAAATTAATATTAAAAAAAAAGAGAACCCCCCCCCCCATGTGTGTACAAAATGAAAAGATGAGGGCTCACTATCTGGCTGAGGCTAGTCTTAAACTCTTAGGCACAAGCCATCCTCCTGCTTCTGCCCCCCAAGTACCTGGACTTACAAGTGTGTACCATTACTTCTGTTAACATGACATTTTACTACATAAGGTGTTTCTAAAAGAACCAACTTCTACACCTTTAAAAGAAAAAAGGAAGAAAAAGCAGGGACCTTGTAAGAAGCAGCAGCCAGTAGCATCTAGAAGGAACTGCAGAGTCAAATAAAGACAGGATACTCCTTTGATAGCAAAGACATTATTATTCACGACCTGCCCACCAGTCTGTGTAAGTACAGCTGCTGTGCAGGTCACTCAAATATCATTTATATGGGTAACAGCCATGTTAATGTAGGCATTTCTGATAACACTACTAGTAGGCTTTTAAACCAATTTATTATCTTGTCTTCCCAGAAGGTTCTGTTTGTTCTCAGTAGCATTTGTGCTACAAATGGCAACCAGGTTTCCCCCTCAATGTAGGGGAATGCCCCACCCTAGACCACCATCTATCAGAGCATCACACAGTCCAACATATGGCCTGTTTTCGGCACATGTCTGCTTCATTTCTAAAGGCTCTCCCAGACAAAAACATTTCATCTATAAAAATACAACTGAACAGGTTGGGAGAAAAAGATACTTGTACATAAAAACAGTTTTAAAAAGTGGTTCTGTGTAGCCACATTTGGAACTGGAATTGTCTTCTATGACAGACCAGGGAACAGTCATTCTTACAGTCCATGTAGCTGGCATGTCCAGAGGAAGGTTCTAGAACAGTCCACACCAAGAAAAGGTAGAGTTTAAAGTGCTCTGAAGACAGACCAAATTCACAGAAGCAACGGAGGACATTTTAAATGCTGATATATGTGGAATTCTATCGGTTGGAATAACTTCAAAAACAAATTTTACAAAGTGTTTGAGATGAAACAGGGACTCGAAGGGACAGCTGAAGGGCCAAGACCCACAGGAGTACATTTCCAGGAAGGGGACGGTTTTTCATGGTAACACTGGAGGGGCCGAGTGAGCAATGAGCTGTGAAGTTGCTCCCATAAGCTAGCCCGTGGGAAGTCCTGGGCTCCTCTAGAAGTCATATCTACATGGGAGGACACATGTTCTTCACGCACACTGGGAGAGGATTATGCCCAAACCTAGAAGACACAGATCATTTTTAGTCCTTAGTTATTCATAAAACTTGAGTTTAAAAGAGGAAATCAGGCTGCATGCACACACACACACACACACACACACACACACACACACACACACACACCCCTCACTCACACACTCCACCCAACAGGACTCTCAAGAGCTTCAGCATGCTTGACACCTACCCCTCAGTTAACTGTGTGCAGGGCCTCTGCAGCCTGCTTACCAGCCACTGGTGACACCCTAAGATTGAGACCTGAACCATGTGTATCTTCATGGCTCACTGTTGTTATCAACACCTCATTACTAAACTTTGTTTTTTTAACACTGCAAAAAAAAAAAAAATCTTTTTATCTATGTGTCCTGAAACTAGGCATTCAACCTACTCCCATTAAAATAAATGTAACGTGAAGGCCTGCTTACTTTCTAAGACCTTACTAAAATATTTTTCATTCATTTAGGCTTTGGTGTGTATGTGTCTATATACATGGGCATGTGTGCTCTAGTGAGCATGAGTAGGTCAAAGGATAATTCGGGGGCATCTGTTCTCCCCTACCACTATGTGGGTTCCAAGAATCAAACCCAAGCTGTCAGGCTTGGCAGCAAGCACCTTTACCCACTGAGACATCTTGTTGGCCCTTACCATCTGTCCAGCAATGTTAAAATTATTATGCTCCAAATATGTCCAAACCTAATCAAGTCTTTATCCAAGGACCCATCTCAAAGTAGTCCCCTAAATCCCCACACAAGTCTCTGTCAGATATGGGATCTTGCATAGCAATGAGCAATGTGCTTAGCACTCACATGCTCTGGGAACACCTGATGTGTGGGGGCCCACAGGAGCTCCCTAGTAAGGCCTTACTCAAGGTCAGAAAGTCTGAGCTTGCTTTGCCCGTCAGGGCTGCATAATGGGATGATTTGGCCAAGGGTGTGGTTACCAGGTGTTTTGAAGGGTCTACACTTGTTGGTACTTTGTACCTCGACCTTGGAAGGGGGAGGTCTTTTGTTCCTCCCCTTGCTGATGTATAAAAAGTCCATCATGATTAAACTTGGGGCAACTGGGTATTGACCCAGGGCCCTCCCAAAGCTATCCTGTGTCTCTGTCTTTCTTGTCATCTATGTCTATATTTCTATCTAATACTTCATTTCTCACTCCTCCCCACAGGAACCCTTGTGACAGGTTGGAGCTGGTCTCCCACACCAATGCCCACCTCCTTGCTTTTAGCTATGGTGGTGGTATTCTAGGGGAGTTGCAAGTCTAATCAAAGTCACGAGGCCCCTTTCCTGGGATAGTCTTCACAGGGGCCTTCACAGCCCCACAGGGGCCCGTGACCTGACACAGGAAATCTGTACTGGTATGGAAACCCCTTCAGCATAGGGAGCAGAGACTAGGAACCTGTGGCTTACTCAAGGCCAGAATCACAAAAGATCAGACATCTAGGGCAAAACAAAACATTTGGGTTATCTAGCTCCATTATTCTTTCAGCACCACGCTGATGCTCTTGGTCTCTTGGAACGCCTGTGGACGAAGGCCCTAACCTCCCAGAGACACCCCCGTGGCATCTGGAGTTCTGGCCATGAGAATGCTGGCTGACAGCCGTCTCAGGAAGGTCCTTCCTTTCCTCCCACACAGGAAAACGGGACAGCTCTCTTACTCTTAGGGTGTGATCCCATGATCCTGAGCAGAACGCTGTCCCATCAGGAGAAACTCGAAGGGTGCTGACACGGTTCTCGTGTCCAAACAGGATGGAGACCCTGGAGCCCTTAAGAACGTCCCAGACATTGATGGTATAGTCATTGTACCCAGCAAAGAGCAGGCGACCTGGAAGCAGAAGATACAATGGTTAAACCAGGTCCTGTTTTTCCTCCCTCGACTGTCGATCACTCACTAATGAATTTTCCCCATCCATCCATCCATCCATCCACCCCACCCCACCCCTCCACCCACCCACCCATCCATCCATCCATCCATCCACCCACCCCACCCCACCCCATCCATCCACCCACTCCCCCACCCCACCCTCACCCACCCATCCATCCACCCACTCCCCCACCCCACCCCTCCACCCATCCACCCACCCATCCATCCATCCACCCACCCCACCCCACCCCATCCATCCACCCATTCACCCATCCATCCATCCATCCATCCATCCATCCATCCACCCACCCCATCCATCCATCCACCCACTCCCCCACCCCACCCCATCCATCCACCCATTCACCCATCCATCCATCCATCCATCCACCCACTCCCCCACCCCACCCCATCCATCCACCCATTCACCCATCCATCCACCCATCCACCCACTCCCCCACCCCACCCCATCCATCCATCCATCCATCCATCCATCCACCCACTCCCCCACCCCACCCCATCCATCCACCCATCCATCCATCCAATAAAACATAGATTCATCTAGGCCCACTGTGTGGCAGGCAATGTATGTTGCCTTTCCAATTCAGGAGAAAGCTGTCACTATTCTCTGTGGAAGGCACGGGACAGAGATGAATATCACTGTAGCATCAGGTGGCAGGAGCCACTATGCCAGGCTCACATGTGTGTAGGATGCCGCCGGGCCTTAGAGGAAGCAGGCACACTCCTGCCATTCCTAAACCTTCAACTTGAGTTTACAGAGACGAAAGCAAAGCGGTCAATGCTTTTGAGGGCTGAGCACTTGAGTTGGGTAGAGGTGCCGTAAAGCGGCTGCAGTTATGTGTGCAAAGGCACAAACTCAGAACAGGGGGTCCCATCAACAGTGGCTTGGTTTCTGCTAGCTGCCTCCCGGCTGTGGGTGGGGCAGCAGGGAGTTTCAGAACTCACAGGGGAAGGGCCAGGGGATGAGGTGAAGGGAGGGGTATCGGAAGGGTCAGATGTGGCCTGAGCATACTGCTCCACAGAAAGCTCAGTGATGGGATGTGGGAGCCCGTTTTCAGGTTCCTCGTGGCTTTACCCAGCAGGTCCGCATAGAGAGGATGATTAGGACCACGGGCCTGAGTGCAGGTGTCTGAGATGGTCTGCACTTGGCTGTGCTGGGGGTGGAGGTCTTTTGCTCCGCCCCTGGGCGTCTCTATAAATACCCTGGGGCAGAGACAGTCAGGGCCTGTTGGAAAAAGTTCCAGGCCCTCTCGAGGCAATCTTTTATTTTCTATCTGTTTATCTCCACAATCTAAATCCCTGTATCTAATATTTCCTGCTGCTGGCACTCAAGAAAACTCTGGGGAACTGTGGGGTTGGTGGGTAAACGCCCCGCAGTGAGAAGCTAGGCAGAGGGCTGGTTTGTTTTTTAAGGTCGAGTCTTACAGTCCCAGAGAAGTTTCTGAAAGGAAATCTTACCACTGAGGGAGAAGTCCACACTGGATGCTCCGAATATGATACTCTCCTTGGAGTAGATGGCGACCTCTCTATCTGCCCGCAGGTCATAGAGGCGACACTGGAGTGGGAAGAAACAGACAAAAGGTCAATTACTCCTGGCTTCAGTTTCTCAAAGGGCAGACCACAGAGCTACGATGTGGGCCCAGCAGCTTCTGCAGTTTGAGGCATGACAGGAGAAAACCTCTTTACTTTTCTCCCCTATTATTTTATCCTTCAGCCAGGTTTCCTGCTAATCTCCATGGGGCATCGGAGACTCAAAGAAACAGCAAATCTAGAAAACTTCTTCAGGTACAGAGATAAACATAGAGCCCTACTTTTCCATGATGAAGCACATGTAGTCATCCTGGAACATTCTGAAACACTTAGAAATTCGTGCACGAGGAGATGAAAGTGCCCCCCGCCCCGCCCCAGTTTTAG